TATTATGTGTGTGACTTTTGTTTTCATCTTGTAAAAGTCTCTCGTAAAACTCGTAGTATGAATATTTTGCAGTTAACGATCAATCCCATGTACTCTGGCCTAATTATACTATAGTCCTACAATTTCCCATTAAATTCTTGGGACTCAGCTATCATTCCAACTTAAATACATGCATGTTGTCAACTTTTTCATAGAAAATATATTGAAAATAAATATTGAATAAAACTTTTAATTCTATTACAATTTTCACATAATTACAGGCAACCATTTTTTTTTAATTATAAGCATAATTCATATGTTTAAGTGCCCAAATTTCTGAGATTTAACAAGCTTACGGAATCATTAAAGTCATCTCTCATCAACTTACTCATCATTCTTTCTATTTATAAATGTAAAATCAGAAACAAGAGATCACAAGACTCAATAAACAATAAACAATATATTACCCTTTATAAAAATCTCAACAAAAAACATTGGAGAATTTCGAAGAAGAGAGCTAAAATCGATACTTTTGCTCTTGGTCTCATCATGAGTTTCTATTTTGTTTACTTTCCTAAGAAAATGGTAAAATGCTTTGGTTTAAGTAAGATGACTATTAGTAATGTACTGATGTTAGTTCAAGTTCATCAACTCTCAAGTATGTTTTTGAGAAATACCCATTATCTTGTGGTCTCCATTATCTTCCAGAGCATAACTTATGTATTTTTTTCGACAAATAACTTATGTATTTAAGTGACATTTTTAAGCATTACTTAATACTTTAGTAGATAGTTAGCAAACATTTGGAACTGCAAATGTATGGACAGAAATTTTAGGAACTTCACAGAGTAGATACACAAGTAGGATAATTGATTTAATTGCGAGTTTTAATCCAAATTAATTAATTCAATCATAGAGCAAATTAAAATAAGAAATAATTTGTTTTAGGCCTCAAACTCTAAAAGGTCCCACATTCATCCAATCTCCAAACGTCTGTCTTTCACGCATTCAATGCTCAGGGACATCATGTCGCTCTCTCTTATTTGAATT